GTGGCATCACTTTTGATTCGAATGGGGGCCGATCCTTCATATCCTGGAGATAAGGCATGTCTTTAATTAGCCTTTTAGTTAGATCCAAATAACAAAGGTAATTCTACAGAGCGCTCTTTCCTACAATGGACGCACAGCGCTACATTACGCTGCGCAAGTGAACAACGTGCAAATGATTGAGTTCCTTATAAGCAAAGATGCCAACAAGGATGCGCAAGATTTGGAGGTCAACTAATTTTTACTTCTTGTAAATTAAATCTGAGCATTTTACCTTTTCAGGATCGCACACCGCTATTCCTTGCCGCATCTCACGGGCATGTGGAGGCAGTTCAGGCGCTCGTCAAAGCCGGAGCATCCCTAGAAATCACGGATCAAAAGGTAGCAAATTCAGTTACACGGTCTCTATGTTATCATACATCTCTAGCAAACTCTTTATTTAGGACCGTACTCCTTACAAAGTAGCGGAAGAAAACGAGTTCCGAAATGTCTTGGAAGTTTTAGACTCGGAGGAAAATAAAACTAGTGTGCCGCTTCATATGGCTATAGGAAAAAACTCCGTAAAAAACAACAGCCGTCAGGTTAAGGTAATTTTTCTAAATGTGATACCGCCCTACTAATACTACTATACAAAAATCTTTTTTCGCAGAGTATGATTTATTCCAATCAAATACATTATCCGACAAAGTTTATTTTTTTCAGCGGATTCCCGTCAAGCGGAAGCCACAACCGTTAACGCCACCGCATTCTGACGGATGCGGCTCAACTCCTTCGCCGCACACTACGACGTATGGACCTTCATCCAGGCCAACAGCCTCAGTCTTGGATTCGCCGTCCAGCGATCGCACTAGCAGCGGAAATGACGGATTCTCTCCCGGATCTCTACCCATGGTATGGTCAAACGACAAGCAAAGTTTGGAAATTTTTCTTAAACATAAGAAACTACTTTTAGACGCACCCCTCCTACTGGACTTCGGACGTTTCACACCAGTCTCCACCATATGAAAGCACGGAATTAGGTGTCTGCTCCTACTACGGGAACTACTCGCAGAACTCTTCCTACGCCCACTCTTTTTCTGCTACAGCCTATCCATCCTGCCAGTACTCGGAAAGGTCTGCATACTACGCGAACCAAGTTTGAAAACTTGCCAGAACAAAGTATTCGTATCAATTGCTTGTGTCATAATCGCAAACCCTTCCTCATAGCGGCTGATGAAATTGTCAGCCAATTAGTATAGTCAGTTCACAAAGTCAATTTTGTCATGATTTTAGTTTATTTTTCTTTACATAGAACCGAAACAACGTTTTCGTCTCTTTCCCTTGGTATAACAGTAAGCAGGGTTGTTAATTTTATATCACTCATTTCTTGATGTTTTATCTTAAATTAGAACTTATTCCTCTACAGTTGTACATATATGCGCACATATCTTCTACTCTCAAAAATTATCCTTCATGCGAGTGTTTTTCCACCTGTGAGCTGCAAATTGTAATATACTATTTACTTGATTTTATACAAAGCACTTGTTGTACTTTGCTAAAATGTAAAATGCGGGTTATCTTGTCATTGTTGCATTACATTTTCAACATAAATAAACCTCTTATGTATGTCGAAACATATTAAATAGTATTTCTCTATAAGCGCAGTTACTAAACAACTGATTGAGATTATAACATCGCAGTCTGTATCACAAAACAGAAGAGAGGATGATGTGCAATTCAAATCACTTGAAATTCTCTATGTATGTTGTCCGTGAAATACGTCTATAGATTATACAGTCCTTTCAGCAGTCAATTACAACTTGACTTCCGACAGAAAAACTTAATCGTGTGAAATTTTCGGATTGAACATGATATGGCCTAAGAAATTCTCTGATTTCCGCTGGAGAGGTTTTCTACTAAAACTCCAGCATTTTTCTCCAGAAAACTAATTGAGTAAAGAATAATGGGAACTTTCTTTGGATTTCCCAAGAAATTATAAGTAAACCATCGTAAACGCTAGTAGGGCTTACTCCAAATAAAATTCTTTTTCGTAACTTATTTTGCGAGCGT